ACATTGTCAGGTCGCTCGCATCCAGCCCGTCCGCGTTTATCTCGCACATTCATCTCTATTATGTACTCTATATAGGCGAGGTTCCGAATGCTATTGCTATTAACTTCGACGTGTTGAGGGAGTAGCTCTTATTGCGTTTACTTGGAATCCGGAAACAAGCGAATAACAGTTGGTCTATGCTGAATGTATACATCGTTCAGGCTGAAACTTAAACTGGTAACTTTAATAAATCCTTTTTCACAAGCTAGATTACGTTTATATACTACTGGATTGTACGTTCCCGTTATAGTACACATCCCGGGAAAGAACATATAAACTATAGTATGGAATCTTGAACCATAACACAAGGGGAGCAGGGTCAATTGAAGGCTTTAGTTAAAACTAATGTGTTAGCTGTACGCGATACAAATCAGTAAATAGGTTACATCTAATACATATTTGTGAATGTGCCTCTGTTTGTCTGTTCTCGATGCAAATCAATACGGAGCACTTTAGAAATGTCAAAGACGTCAAGTAAGATATATATATATAATACATATATTATAGATAGATAGATAGATAGTAGATTAGATAGACAGCATAGACGTATCATAGATAGATCAGATTTGAGATAGATGAGATAGATAGATAGATAGTAGATAGATTAGATAGATAGATAGATAGTTAGATAAATGATAGTAGATAGATAGTAGATAGATAGAATAAGATAGGTACTAGAAGATAGATAGATAGATAGATAGAATAGATTAGATAGATGATAGATAGATAGATAGATAGATAGATAAGATAGATAGAATAGATAGATAGAGATAGATAGATAGATTAGCATAGATATGAATAAATAGACAGATACGATAGACAGCGATAGATAGATAGATAGATAGATAGATAGATAGATAGATAGATAGATTTTTTGGATATTTTTCTTTCAACCAAGTGGTCACCAACTGAGCGCTTTATTTCCCGGGCAACGCCGGGTGTCCTGCTAGTGTATTACATAAAGGTAATTGTGCAACTACTCTGGTGTCTGCCCTTCCCGCTTCTGAATTAACGGAATCGGTGAAATTGGTATAAACACACGACTGTAATATCAAAATATTGTTTACATGTTAGAAATGTCACAAACGAGCGGCAAGGCTTCTCGAATAAATTGAATTAGTGGTTTAATGAAGGTGTTTAGTTGTGTTCCTGTAATATAATTCAATATTTCACAGAAAGACCACTGATTCTATCAGTGGCTATATGACCTGGAAAACAACTGGAGGTTCACATAGATGTCGCAGCGTATCAATTAAGCTGAAGGAGTCGTTGTCGTATCAGGTACTACATATATGTACCCGAGGTACATTTATGTATACACAAAGTGTACCAGACTTGTACTACAGATGTATACTCTAACCTTAACCCTAACCCTAACCCTAATCCTAACCCTAAACATACCTCATATAAAAATATAACCAGAATACTAAACAACCTAAAACTACCTCGGGTACATATATATAGTACCTGATACGACAACGACCCTTCGTGCATCCATTAATCAGCTATATATATATATATGTTATATATATACACACACGGGTGCCATTTCCGGGAAGCTAGAAGAAGTATATCGGATAACATAGAAGTGAGGTAGTTGACACCGACAGTAGAGCCATGAGAATATTCCACCAGGATACGAGACAGTCGCCTCGAGTGGCCAATGCCGCAACGTCCCAATGGAAAATCTATATTCTTCTTGCCCGGCGGGCATTTAATTTTCGCTGATTAAGCCGCTGCTTTTGAACTTATGAAAATCCTGATGAAACGCTGTATGTGCTGTTGTTTTTCTAAGCTTTGTCAGCAACATTTCTCGCAGAAATCCACTAGCATACAAAGCTTTCATTATGTTAAAACATCAGTGCCTCCGGGGCGCCGCGCCGATGTTTGTGATGGCGGTTCTCAGCCCTCCGTACTGTTGCCGGCTGCTGCTGCTGCTGCCGCGTCGCCTTGGGGACACAACCACATAATGCAATGCGCAAAGACGCTTTTTGTGACCGCCAGAGTTTGCGCGGCGTTTCTTCCCCCGCGCTCCCCTCCCTCTCCTCGCGCTCGTATAATGTAACATGTTTCGTTGATATAAAGGCGATATATTCCGGCGGCTAGGCGAGAGTTCGAGCTGGTGCGCGCCGCCGCCGCCGCCGCCGCTGCCGACTGACTGCGAGCAAGTTTACAGCGGAGAGTCGGTGTGCCCGCCAGAGATAGCGACTAATGGCGAACAGAGCATGGCATTTACTCGTCGCCGCCGGCGCTCGCTGAGTCCCTCGCTCCGCAGCCGCGCTCAATGCGCTCGGGATGAAATTAAACTGGCTCGCCGGCGGCGACGCTGGCTCTTGTTACTCATAAAGACTTCGCGCAGAAACATCAGCAAAAAGGCTGATGTCTAAACATACAGCGGAGTGAGGCGGCGGCGGCAGCGGGAGGGAGGAAGGAAGGAAGGAAGAAAGGGAGGGAGGGAGGGAGAGAGGGAGGGAGATAGCGAGAGAGGGAAGGAGGAGGGAGAGAGGGAGGGAGGGATGGGGAGAGGGAGAGTGGGAGAGCGGTGTGAGAGCGTATGAGCGGGCTACCGAGGAGGGTGGGCGAGCAGGGCGTAGTGGGGATACTCGCCGGCCGATCTGGATCTAGCGGCGGACTGGAGAGGAATCGAGCTTCTTCTATATCAACAACCTCGGAACGTGAAACAAGAGTCGGCGAGCGAGAGTAAACCTGCAGGGGCAGGAAGGTGAGCAGAATTTCCGGCAAATCTGCGACAATCACCGGGAATTTCCCTCGTATTCACCTGACACCTGCGAACGGCTGCGATATTGGTATAGACGATAAACACTCGCCGTGTTTACACCAGGCGAATCCGAATCACGACTCCGATTTTAAGAGCCAATCAGATTTTAGCAGTCGCGGTCGGCGATGATCGGGAATATTCGGGTAAGACCCCGACTAAATGGGTTTGGGTTTCACGAACCGCTATTAGAGACAGAGAGAGAGAGAGGGAAGAGAGAGAGGGGAGAGAAGAGGGAGGGGAAGAGAGAGATACGCGATGCGCATTTTGAGTTTGAGTCATGCGGCGCCGTTAGAACGACAGCAGAGGTAAACAGACTGGAAGCTGTCGATGCAGCGAGCAAAATCGATAGTAATTATTGTAATAATTCGACGTCGCACTCTCGCTGTCAGTTCCAGCTCAGGTCGTGCCGCCATCTATAGAGGATGTGTGCAGCCGCGGGGCCTCACGAACCTACGCTGGAGAGGATGCCAGCCTCGCTTGAAGGTGCCATGCTCTGACAACCGGTGACTGTCTCACTGATGCTTCGCTTCCGTGCACCCGCTTCCAGAATTCTCTTTCTATGTTCCTGCGCTTGCCTCCATGCCCCTGCCGTCATGCTCCTGCCTCAATGTTCGTTTCCCCATGCTCCTCCCACCATGCTCATGCCTCAATGTTCGTTTCCCCATGCTCCTGCCACCATGCTCCTGTCCCCATGCTCCTGTCCCCATGCTCCTGCCCCCATGCTCCTGTCCCCATGCTCCTGCCACCATGCTCCTGCCACCATGCTCCTGCCTCCATGCTCCTGCCTCCATGCTCCTGCCACCATGCTCCTGCCTCTATACTCCTGCCACCATGCTCCTGCCTCTATACTCCTGCCACCATACTCCTGCCACCATACTCCTGCCACCATACTCCTGCCACCATGCTCCTGCCTCCATGCCACTGTCTTCATGCTCCTGCCTCCATGCTCCTGCCTCCATGCTCCTGCCTCCATGCCACTGTCTTCATGCTCCTGCCACCATACTCCTGCCTCCACGCTC